GGTGTGAGAGAATGGGCCGTCTGCAAGGACGTTGCCCAGAGGACGCCTGAATGGTGTGAGAGAATGGGCCGTCTGCAAGGACGTTGCCCAGAGGACGCTCAAATGGCATGAGAGAATGGGCAGTCTGCAAGGACGTTGCCCAGAGGACGCTCGAATGGTGTGAGAGAATGGGCCGTCTGTAAGGCTGTTGCCCAGGGGACGCCCGAATGGTGTGAGAGAATGGGCCGTCTGCAAGGACGTTGCCCAGAGGACGCCCGAATGGTGTGAGAGAATTGGCCATCTGCAAGGATGTTGCCTAGGGGACTCCCAAATGGTGTGAGAGAATGGGCCGTCTGCAAGGACGTTGCCCAGAGGACGCCTGAATGGTGTGAGAGAATGGGCCGTCTGCAAGGACGTTGCCCAGAGGACGCTCAAATGGCATGAGAGAATGGGCAGTCTGCAAGGACGTTGCCCAGAGGACGCTCGAATGGTGTGAGAGAATGGGCCGTCTGTAAGGCTGTTGCCCAGGGGACGCCCGAATGGTGTGAGAGAATGGGCCGTCTGCAAGGACGTTGCCCAGAGGACGCCCGAATGGTGTGAGAGAATTGGCCATCTGCAAGGATGTTGCCTAGGGGACTCCCAAATGGTGTGAGAGAATGGGCCGTCTGCAAGGACGTTGCCCAGAGGACGCCTGAATGGTGTGAGACAATGGGCCGTCTACAAGGACATTGCCCAGGTGACGTTGTGTGGTTTATATTGTATGTTAATGTTTTTAATTATATTTGATGTTGTTGGGGGCATTGATTGCCAACTGTAAACTGCCTTGAGTTTGGGTTAAATAAAAATTTAATGTTCGTTTGTGGGATTAACAGAACTCAAAAACCACTGGACAAATTGACACCAAATTTGGACACAAGACACCTAACAACCCAATGTATGTCCTTCACTCAAAAAATTGATTTTGTCATTTGGGAGTTGTAGTTGCTGGGATTTATAGTTCACCTACAATCAGAGCATTCTGAACCCCACCAACGATGGAATTGAACCAAACTTGGCACACAGTTCTCCCATGACCAACAGAAAATACTGGAAGGGTTTGGAGGGGAATGTCCTTTGGTTTTGGAGTTGTAGTTCACCTACATCCAGAGATCACTGTGGACTCAAACAATGATGGATCTGGACCAAACTCTACACGAATACTCAATATGCCCAAATGTGAACACTGGTGGAGTTTGGGGAAAATAGATCTTGACATTTGGGAGTTGTAGTTGCTGGGATTTATAGTTCACCTACAATCACAGAGCATTCTGAACCCCACCAATGATAGAATTGGGCCAAACCTCCCATACAGAACCCCCATGTGGGCCACAGCAACGCGTGGCAGGGGATGGCTAGTATCTATAAATAAAAACGTAATGTTTGTTTGTGGGATTAACATAACTCAAAAACCACTGGACGAATTGACACCAAATTTGGACACAATACACCTATCAGGCCAAAGAGTGACCATCATTCATAAAACACTGAAAAACACAACAGAAGGATCTTAAAAAGCCAAAAAACAAAAATTACATTACAATGTTTGCGCAAAACCACACACACACACACACACACACACACACACACACACACATATATATACACGCGAACACATATACACATATACAGAAATATATAAACACAAATATATACACACACAAAACACATAAACACAGACTGGGGCCACAGCAACGTGTAGTGAGGACAGTGAGGACATTTTCCTAGTTTCCAACAGACCTCATAACCTCTGAGGATGCCTGCCACAGATGCAGGCGAAATGTCAGGAGAGAATGCTTCTGGAACATGACCATACAGCCCGGAAAACTCACAGCAAACCAGTGATTCCAGCCGTGAAAGCCTTCGACAATACAATGACATTCCTTTCCCTTTCCAAATAATTCAGAGGTAAGGTTAGGAAAAGAGTTTTTATCAAAGCGAGCCAATTTGGAGGGCGCTTTTAATAGACTGAGAAACAGTTTTGGCAAAATACTGCCGATACGACGAACAGCCTGGGAAAAGGCAGTAAATAAAAACAGAGGGTTCAGAGGGAAGACGGAGTCCCAAGACAGGGAACGGACGCTCAAGGGGGGCCGAGAATATGAAATCAAAGAGGAAAGATAAGAAGGAGCAAGAGGGAGCAAATGCACTTAAGTTAATAATAAAATAATGGCAAGGATTGCAAAGAGATGAGTCCTGATGCAATGGGTGAATCGGAGGTCAATCGAGTGTGATGGGGGCGCGTTCGGAGATACCGGGGAACGCGTTTGAAATGCGGATTGAAGGAGAAAATTGGAAAGGAGAAGAGCAGGACAAAAGCATCGAAACGACAACATCAAGCACATTAAATGGCGACATCTGCCAACTTGAAGAAAGGCCCGTCTTGGGAGCCAATCTAGAGATTAAACACACCGAAGAGTGTGCTCTTTTTTTTTCATTTTGAAGGGAAAGATACAGGAACGAAAGCCAAGAAGACTCAAAACAGAAAATAGCCATCGGCCGACACTCATCTCCGTATCAAACCACTTGTATCGATTACACAGCCGCTTGAAATGAAAGACTTGTTGCTTCCATATGTATATGCACATATATTACCTCCGTGGCTTCACCCCGATCGAGAAAGAACACAAGGGTTCGTCTTTCAAAGAATTGTGTCGTTTCGAGATTTGAAGACTTGGGTTGTTGGCTGGCGAATTCTCCCCTTTCCCCCCCCACGTAGATAGATTTTAATGGATACGGTTTCCTAACATCATGTAATTGTCAAAATGTTCTTGTCAAAGATCCTTAGAGAGTCTCTGATTTTTAATCATTTTTCTGAATTTTTCCTAAGACCCAAATATTTTAATTAATGGGTTTCCAACACACACAAAAATCAAGTCGTTTCAAACTTTTTCTTAATTTGTGTAAGGATTTTTGAAATGTAAATTTTCAGTTTAATGCTACTTTTTGACTGTACCTTTTTGAAAATAGATGATAGACAGAAGAAGCTAAACACAATTCAGTTTTCAAGAGGATGTTGAAATGGAGAATATGGGAGGGAAATATGGTATTTGTGCCTTACCAAATGAAGATAGATAGATAGATGATAGATAGATAGATAGATAGATAGATAGATAGATAGATAGATAGATAGATAGAATACTCTATCAGTAGAGGCATTACTTTTTGATCCATCCTTGTATGTCAGGTACACATTACGTACATAGATAGGAAGATAGACAGACAGACAGATAGATAGAGAATAGATAGATAGATAGATAGATAGATAGATAGATAGATAGATAGATAGATAGATAGATCAAATACTCTATCAGTTGAGTAAGGTTCCCTTTATTCTATCGTGCAGAGATAGTCCAGTAGCTGGGAAAGAAAGAAAAGTTAGAGGGATGGAGGCTTTACTTTTTGACCCACCCTCATATGTCAGGTACATGTTATGCACATAGATAGATAGAAAGACAAATAGACAGACAGACAGAAAATAGATGGATGGATGGATGGATAAATAGATAGAATACTTATCAGTAGAGGCATTACTTTTTGACCCACCCTCATATGTCAGGTACACATTACGCACATAAATAGATAGGAAGATAGACAGACAGATAGAGAATAGATAGATAGATAGATAGATAGATAGATAGATAGATAGATAGATAGATAGATAGATAGATAGATAGATTACTCTATCGGTAGAGTAAGGTTCCCTTTATCATAATATGCATAGATAATCCAGTAGCTGGGGGGGGGGGGGAAGCTAGAGCGATGAAGGCATTACTTTTTGACCCACCCTCGTATGTCAGGTACACATTATGCACATAGGTAGACAGGAAGATAAATAGACAGACAGACAGACAGACAGATAGATAGATAGAGAATAGATAGATAGATAGAATACTCTATCAGTCAAGTAAGGTTCCCTCTATCATACCATGCATAGATAGTCCAGTAGTTGGGAAAGAAAGAAAACTTGGGGGCATTACCTTTTGACCCACCCTCATATGTCAGGTACATATTGTGCACATAGACAGATAGGAAGAAAACTTGAAAACTTGGCTCTTTGAGCAAGTGTTTGGAGCTCCAGTGTGACCAGATAAGTACAAAATTGTAATACGAACACGGAATGGCCAAGACGATGTAAACAGATGAGGAATTGGTCTGGAAGACACTGTTTTTTAAATAGATTTTTATAGTTTTTATGGATTTTATATGTATTTATGATGTGATTTAATTGCCTCTAACTGATATATTTGTGTGTGTGTGTGTAAGGTAGGTAAAGGTTGTCCCCTGACATTAAGTCCAGTCATGTCTGACTCTGGGTTGTGCTGCTCATCTCCATTTCTAAGCTGTGTGTGTGTATGTGTGTGTGTATATATATATGGGGCATCTAATTGTTGCCGGTCTGTACGCCGCCCTGAGTTGCCTTCGGGCTGAAATGGGCGGGATAGAAATGATTTAAATAAATAAATAATAGATAAATAAACAACTAAATAGATCAATAGATAGAGAATAGGTAAAATGCTCTTATCAGTAGAGTAAAGTTCCCTCTATCCTATCATGTATAGATAGTTCAGTAGCTGGAAAAGAAAGAAAACTTAGAGCAATGGAGGCATTACTTTTTGACCCACCCTCGTATTATCCAGGATCTTCAACTTTCCTTAGTTATTTAACAATTCCAGCAGCAAACTAATTCTCCAAATGATAATGTCTTACACTGAATTACACCATTTGTAACTGAGAGGTCTTGGGGTAACTAGATCTGTTATGGAAAGTGCTGTCAGTTCTGTTCAGTTTTGTTATTCAGAACGACTTCCTGGGCTGAAGATTATTACGATCAAATAATACATACCAGTATATTGGGGGGGGGGGGGGTTGTACGTGGTGGTGACTTGTGGATCTCTTTAAGAAAAGGAAAGCATGTTGACTTGAGTTTTAAATATTTCAATTCTTTTTCTCTATGTCTCTCTCTCTCTCTCTCCCCTATGAAGGAAAACTGAACAGTCAGGACACTTACAACAATTTCACCAACAATAACCCCGGGAACCCTCGCCTTTCCCCGCTCCCCAGCCTGACGGTGGTGGTCCCTCTCGCTCAGATCAAGCAGCCCATGACGTTGGGAACAATCACCAAGCGAACTGGGTAAGTCAGAGGGTTTTGGAATAAGATCCCTTTCTGTCTATATTTCCTTTTCATTCTGGCTTCTCAACTTTCCGGAGCAGATTCGGGACGAGGCGCCCTTTACTCTCTTATTTGACAAATTAAACCTGCAATTCTGCATGCTTTTTGTTTTCGTCACAAAATATTGTAGAGCTTCCTTCTCGGTAAACACAGGCCGAGTTGCATGGCATTTTTTTTCCTTGATCGTGGAGAAGAGAGGAAGCAAACACTCACAGGACCCCAGGGCAACTCTAAAGCAGATCTGTAAATATTTGTCCACAATTACCAAATTTGCCGTCTTCTTCGTTTACTTTATAAAAAAAAATTCCAATGGCTCATTTTCTCTAAACCATCTGATACATTTTCTTTTCTGCTGGAAATCAGAGGTAGTTAGTAACTCAAACCGGGGATTTCCTGCTAAGCCGTTGCAGGGATGTTTTTTAGCAGTTTAATACAACATGGCAGATGCATGACAATTCTGAATTTTTCACTTTTTCAGATATTATTTTTTTGAACACAACACTGATTATTTTATTTTTATTTATTTCCCTTACATTTACCTCTCTAGCATTAGCTGCCTATCCCTCGGGCCCTGGTGAATGTTGTGGAATTGTCCAAAGCTGTGGTTGGGATCAAGTTATTTAATCAGTATCATCCCAATGTTTCAGGGCATTCACTTCACAAAACAAGGTTTTAGAAACTCATTGGAGAAATAACACTGAAATACAATTACAAGCCATCTAAACATTAATAATAATAATAATAATAATAATAATAATATAATAGCATAATACAATATAGTCATATTTAATACTGTTGTTGTACTAATACTGATATTGTGCTATGCTAATAATATAGTATATTGTATGTATGTATATATTGTAAGCTGCTCTGAGTCCCCTTCGGGGTGAGAAGGGCGGCATATAAATGTTGTAAATAAATAAATGAATAATAATAATACGAAACCCAGCATACAGATCTCGTTTGCTGTGACATATTGTGTTTTTGTCAGTATATAACAATAATCTATTTAAATAAAAATGTAATGTTTGTTTGTGGGATTAACAGAACTCTAAAACCACTGGACGAATTGACACAGCATTTGGACACCTAACAGTCCAACAAGTGTCCATCACCCCTAAAAATACACACACACACAAAACCCCAAAAATACACCATATATACATATACACATACACTCATACATATACACATGTACACATTTGTATATATATGTACAAAAACAGACAAATATACACATATGCACACACACACATATACATACACACATATATACACATGCACACACAAATATACACATATACATATACACATGCAGACATGCATGCACACATACATATAACATGCATGGACACATATAAACACACAAATACACAAGTATATACACACATATATAAACACACACATATATACAGCCATATATATATATATATATATATATATATATATATATATACACACACACACATACATACACACACACACATACACACACACACACACACACACACACACACATGCCAGCACTTATATATACACAAATATACACAGACTGGGCCACAGCTATGCGTGGTAGGAGACGGCTAGTAATAATAATTTTTGTCATGTGAGGAGCGACTTGAGAACTGCAAGTCACTTCTGGTGTGAAAGAATTGGCCGTCTGCAAGGACATTGTCCAGGGGACACCCGGATGTTTTGATGTTTTTGCCATCCTTGTGGGAGGCTTCTCTCATGTTCCTGCATGAGGAGCTGGAGCTGATAGAGGGAGCTCATCTGCGCTCCCCTCCGGATTCGAACCTGTGACCTGTCGGTCTTCAGTTCTGCCAGCACAGGGGTTTAACCTACTGCGCCACCGGGGGCTCATAATAATAATAATAATAATAATAATAATAATAATAATAATAATAATAATAAAAATCACGGTCTGTCACATTTCTTGGATCTGTGCGTATCATTCAAAAATACATCACACAGTCCAAGACGCTTGGGAAGTGTTCGACTTGTGATTTTGTGATACGAAATCCAGCATATAGATCTCATTTGCTGTGACATACTGTGTTTCTGTGTCAGTAAAATAATAATAACAATAACCTTTATTTATATCTGCTCTGTCTCCCCAAAGGGACTCAGGGCGGATTCCAAACATAAAAGGCAAACATTCAATGCCCAAATACAACAACAATACATCCATACTGACAGAATTTAACAACCCAACATATAAACACAAATTATGACTTAACAACTATGTTACATTATAATATTATAAATAAAAAACACAGCCTGTTATAACAGAAATAAGACAAAACATCTAACAGAAGCAACAGTTCCCCAGTTATTTGGGGCAAATAGATTGATCATTGCTCAAGATATCTATTGGGCTGGTGGGGCGAGCAGGGCACGGATACGAATTGTAACTATTAATTAGAGGTATAGTGATAATATTACTAACTACTCCCCATGTGGACTACTTCTCCCGATGGGAACTCAGAGCAGATTACAGTGTAAACATCCAATGCCTTGTTACAATACAAAGAGACATACAAACACAAACAAAGGCAAAGGCTTCTCCTTTCATTTCCGGCTTTGGAGACAGTGTGAATCTCTGGCTCTGGGGAAGGTGCTGTTTGCTATTTCCAAGCCAAGGAGCCTGCGTTGTCATCTCTTGATCATGTGACCGGCATTAATGTTCGGAGTCTCTTACTATTTATTTATTTATGACATTTATATGCTGCCCTTCTCACCCCGAAGGGGACTCAGAGCAGCTTACAAGATAAAGATACGTACAATATTTATTTATTTATTTATTTATTTATTTATTTTATTTCAAAGTTTTATATACCGAGCTTCTCGCCTCATAAGAGGGACTCAGCCCGGTTTCCAACCATAAAAACACATACAATCGGTAAAATATCAAAATACACATTACAATAAAACATTAAAAAAGCACATATACACTAATAACATATATTATGTTATTAGCGTAGCACTATATCACTATTAAATATTACTATATTGTACTATACCATTATATTGTGATATTATTAGTAATATTACATGTAATATAAATATATAATTATAATATCATATTATTATTAGTATTATTATATNAACAACAAGGACCCTTCCCATGTTAGATAGTGTGTACATTTAATCAAGGTTTTATGCCCTAGGTTTCATATACAGCAGAAGGCAGCACGTTTATTACTGAGAAACCACCTCCCTTTAGACTTATGTGCTCTCTCGAACTTCTATGGGACTCTGGTGGGAGGGACAAGTGGGTATGTTTTCTATAACATCTATATATATAAATTTGTTAGGGGCATCCAACGAGGAAACAAAACTCAAAACCCCCCCAACGAAACTTAACCAAAATTCCCATGCCCATAACACAACCCACAAGGTACAAACATATCTACTCAAAATGAAAAACAACACAACAACACACTCACAAAACGGCAAAACAACAAAACTCAAAAATCCCCCAACGAAACTTAACCAAAATCCCCGTGCCCATAACACAACCCACAAGGTACAAACATACCTACTCAAAATGAAAAACAACACAACAACACACTCACAAAACGGCAAATGAAAAAAAACAAAACTCAAAAATCCCCCAACGAAACTTAACTAAAATCCCCGTGCCCATAACATAACCCACAAGGTACAAACATACCTACTCAAAATGAAAAACAACACAGCAACACACTCACAAAACGGCAAAACAACAAAACTCAAAAATCCCCCAACGAAACTTAACCAAAATCCCCGTACCCATAACACAACCAAAAAGGTATAAACATATCTACTCAAAATAAAAAACAACAAAACAACACACTCACAAAACAGCAAAACAACAAAACTCAAAAATCCCCCAACGAAACTTAACCAAAATCCCCGTGCCCATAACACAACCCACAAGGTACAAACATACCTACTCAAAATGAAAAACAACACAACAACACACTCACAAAACGGCAAAACAACAAAACTCAAAAATCCCCCAACGAAACTTAACTAAAATCCCCGTGCCCATAACACAACCCACAAGGTACAAACATATCTACTCAAAATGAAAAACAACACAGCAACACACTCACAAAGCGGCAAAAGAACAAAACTCAAAAAAACCCCAACGAAACTTAACCAAAATTCCCATGCCCATAACACAACCCACAAGGTACAAACATATCTACTCAAAATGAAAAACAACACAACACACTCACAAAACGGCAAAACAACTGAGCATGCGCATTGGCGCCCAGCCACAAGTTCCATCGCGCGCACACATGGCCTTCCGGCCAACATTCCCTCTGCGGAAACCATGCCCACTCCAAGCCCCACCGCGCCGCTTCCCGCACACACACAGACTCTGCCGCACACACACACGCAACCCCACGCTCCATCACTCCCCCTGCCGCCGCACACACACACGCAACCCCAC